ATAAGAGAGATGACTGGTTCGAGAAACTTTCAATAATCGTAACATTGGACTATTCAAAAATTAATTCTACTGTGACTATTCGATTATTCGATTAGTGGAATATCAAGAGCTCTAATTTCGACGACGTTTTGCTGACATCCTCAAGCCTCACACCTTGTAAGAGAACCTAAACGGCTCTCAGGCCAAAATATGAGTTTGATAACAAGTGGGATTTCCATAATTTTTACTAAGCCTTGGTTAATTTATACAGTATATTTAAAAACCAATAACTGTAAACATATATACAACCCTAATCTGGATTATCCAGGCGGTAAGCGGAAGAACTCCTCATATCAACACTCACTGTCGAAACCAAATCACCCTTTAAAGCAAAATTTAGTATGGAAATGTACGGAAACGAACAAAGCAGTAACAATTTAAACACCAAGCGGCTATAATAAAACTATGAAAAGTAGCGTTAACCGTTAAGCAGTCAAGTTGATTGCCCTGACAATCGGTAGCAGCTGTTGTTGACGATGGCTCCCGACGAGCGTCGAAATGGACATCAACAATATTTTAATGAATGCGGCGAGCGACGGAAAATTCTGTTTGTACAACAGCAATGCTCGAGAGGCTTGAGGGATGCCACAGCAAAGGCACAAGCTATTAGTTTTCCCTTTTAGCAGGAAGTTTGTAGCTAAGCACTTTTCCCGCCAGCACCCACTACCCACAGTAAAGACAGCCGCCAAGGCAATAAGCACACAAGCTTGAAGTGTGTCAGCAATGGACAAAGCGCGGCGGAGGCGGGTAAGCAAATAGCTTGCGAAAAGTAGCTATTAAATGCGGCTGTATGTAGTAGATGGGTGCTGGAGGCAGCATACAACTCACACAAGCGCGTGCTGGCAGCTACCTACCAAAGGCGCAAGCAAGAAAAAAAAGGCCGCTTAGCAGGCAACAATATGCCGCAGCGCTCAAAGTTATGTACGCATTAGATCCATATATACATATATATATTTCTCTATGTATTTGACTTTATATTCGCAATATAAAATATACTTTTGCTTGTTCAATTATGGTCCCCAGCACATTAAGTAAGTGCGTTTGTGAGTTTTATGTTGTAACTTGATTAGGCAAGTATTTGAAATTAAAGATGTTGCCGGCAGATTAATACTGCTAAACTTGCTTGTATGTATGAATCGGAGATATAACATTATCAGGATTTTTGTTTTTTGGAAAAATTTAATATTACGGTTCATAATATTTCAGATGTGAAATCAATAAGCCATATATAATATGTATGTATGCATATGTCTATTTACTTGTCTGCTATATTCATAAAGCAAGAGATTAAAATTTTTTGCCACAAATTTATAAATCGGCGGAAAAATTGATTTTTCAATGAAATAAAACAATTGCGCTATATCGAAAGCCGGGTTTGGAAGAAAAAATTTAAACAAAATTCGGAAATAACGGTAGAACTTAAAAAACATGTAAATAAATACTTAATGACGTCTGAGTGATTTCATATTGGGTAAATAATTTTTACAAGAAAATAAATTGATTTTGAAGGAACTCGAATTTACAGTCAAAGATTCTGACTAAATATATTAAGCCGTGATCAGATCTGGACAATTCCGTCAAATATTGTAGCGTTGCCCTAAACAAAATCCATGCCAGTTGCGGGACGATATCTCGTCGAATAGGAAAGTTTTCTTAACAGGGTCTTGATTTTGATCGTTCAGGTTGTATAGCAGCTATACAAGGTTAATTAGGTTTATATGGCTGCTACCATGATTATGCATTCCATTCCTATTTCATTAGGCCAGTTTACACTATTTATACCAGTAGTGTGTTCGAATCGCCATTTTAGAAGGTATTCTATTCCTATTTTATTATGCCATGCTGTCTGCTATTATGTCTATTTCATTATGCCAGTTTAAACTATTTATACCAGTAGTGTGTTCGATTCGCCACTTTATAAGGTTGTGTTTGTTTATATTGTTGCTCGGTATTCTGTGCCTATTTTACTATCCCAGCTTATACAAAATATAGAAAATATACCAGTTGTGTGCTCGAGTCGCCACTTTACACTATTGGCGTCACTGAAGACAGTTGATATTGAGAATATAGTATGAAAATATATACCCACTCACAAATCAGAAGAAAACGCTGAACCTTATTTATTGTAATGTGCGAAAATTCAATTGGTATAAAGATTCTAAATTAACAGTCATAATTATCTAAATAATGCTATATGTGATTCGCTTTATTTCATGATTTTTGACCCTGGAGGGACTTTGTTATTTTGCTGCTGGTTGCAAAACACGATGATTATTAGTCGACTCAAATTATAAGGAACGTCTAGGGTTAAATTGATAAAAAGGGACTCCCAATTAGCTGCTGAAGTTGAAGAGTAAACAAACTTCGAAAGAAGACAGTGTTGGTCTATTGAGATAGATTCTAATTTCTACATAAAAGCTGGTATAAATTTGCGATAAAAAAAAAATAAAAAACTCTGCACTTTTGAGAGTGGATATTAATTTTTCGGTCTGAAATATTGACTAAAATGTAACATATTTGAAATTCAGATAATTCGATGATAACGAATATATTCTGAAATATATAAGAAATACGAAATGAGACCTCACGAAAAACATGGGTCAGCTAAAGTTATTGTCAGGAAGTCGTATTTCATGTTTTTAATAAAAAAAAAAAATAATATATGAAAAAAGTTGTTTTTTTTTTTTTGAGGTTTTGTTATAACGATAATAATTATGAATATACAAAATTTGTAGTTATAGAAAAAAGTACTTTTTAAGATTATGTCATAATGATGTACACACAAGTTATTATAATTTTTTACATCATATAACTTGTTGCTGTAGAACACGCAGTTTCGCTGGAAATCGACATTCCCCGTTTGTAGCCCTTAAAACTTCAACCACGCCCCTTCCCGTTTCCTTTCCCGACCTCAGATTTTTATTATTTTACCCTTCTTTTCAAATGCGTTTACATCTAAAATAATCTATACTAGTCTAATGAGTATGCTAAACTTTCTGCTTACATTTGTTCTCCACTTTGAAAAACTTTGTCAGATGAAATAATAAAAATCAAACATAAAATACTTTTGATTAAAGAAATTTGCTTTCGGCTGGACCAAGAATGCATTGAAATATGGTAGTTCTCTTTAAATGCATATGTCAAGAGTACAGATCACTTGTTATTAGCTGATTATGGTGGACAGGATAGAATGGAATATTATTTGAGGTAATGCACCGCGACCTAAGGTCTATTGTGCCCTGATTATGGTGGATATTTATGTCAGTGGTTTGCTCGACTCGCAACTAAATCTGCCTTGGTGCAACATTTACGATTTTAAAGGTATTCGTGTTTATCTTTAATAACTTTATATTAGGATACATATTTTATATTAAATAATTTTTCGATATGGAAATCTTTTTATCAACAAACTTTCAATGTTGAAGAATTTAAATTTGATTGATGCTTTCTTTCATGAAATTTCGCTTAATTGAATTGGACAGTGAATTTTATTTTTAATTATTACTTACTCCCATGGAAATTTATTATTTCTTATTTTTGTAGTTATTTTAAATCTTATCTTTTTATGGCTTAAATATTTCCCGAAACAAATTTCAATTATACCCGCAGCGCTCGCATTTATCCAAATAATTTACTATTAACCAGTTGACGTTCAACATAAAATCTTTAAATATTCTACAATAGAACAATGGCAGAACAGCCGATAAGCAGATATTTACATCTAACAAATAAATACAGCAAAATTTAAGGATTTTACAAAATATTCAAACAACCACCTGAGTTCTATTATAAAGAAACATGTGTGGGTGCGCTTATGCAAATTACAAGTAAATGTCAAGTGACGTAATCGATTTGTATGCAAATTCAACGAAAACTGTGCGACAGCAGCTGTGGAAAACATTATCTAAAGGTAATTGAATAAACTGTTTTATTTATCATTGTGTGCTTAGTGTGTTACAAGCTGACATCTGTCATAAGCGAAATGGCATTCAAAAACAATATACACTGAGAGCGTCAAAAATAAGTTAATACAAATACTAGAAATGTTGATGACGAGTTTGGGAGGCGTAGGTGGTGACAGATATACTACGCAATGTCATGCTAGTAAGGAAAAATAAAGCGAGCAGTTCCTGACAATAATCGAACTTACAAAAGAGGACTAGTTAGGAACCAGTTTTTAACGAAAAAAGAACTAGTCTGAAAAGTTGCTGACTTGATAGAATTGTAAAACACCATCCATCTCAGTTAGGAAAAATATTGTTTTACAACGAGGAGCGCGTAGCGCTAATCGAACTTACCAAAGGAAATTAGTTAGGAACTAGTTTTACAACGAAAATTGAACTAATCCGGAAAGTAGCTGATTTGATCGAATTGTGAAACACTATGCTTGAGTTAATAGACTATTTTTTAGTATTATTAGACTATATGCTTAGCAATAGAACAATAAGTATAGCAGAGAATTTTAGGACAATGAACAAGTAACTGCCGAGACTGAGCCCTATTTTGAAGGAAAATGCCAATCGTACCAAAGGATTATTAACCAAAAACAAGATGATTATAACCGGTGTATTGGTTACTTTGAATATCGATAAATGCTGGTTTTCTTAAACTGAAGAAGTTTGTTTTGTGACTTTTTAGACTAGTAGGACTGATACATTTAAAACCGTAGTCTTTAAGTTGATTTCATTCCAAAAGTGATATTGAAGAGATTTAATATCGCAATAATATATATTATAAAATTTATAATATCTCCCTTTAGAACCTTAGAGAAACTACTTGCCTTCACTGTAGGGATGTTAAACAGTGACTTTTTCATTATATTCACAGCTATTATAATCGAAGCATTTCGAATGAATTTATACTGATTTGCTGCAGTTGAGGTGTCTGTGAATGTAAACTTATGAATTTGAATTCAAAATCGAATAGTGAAAATATATTTCAGTTAGCGAGTGAATATTAAACAGAATTGTTATGTAGTGCCAAAGCACAGAAAAATGGTTGCAAATATTTTTGAGCGAATTTTCATAAGCTGTTTATTATACCGTTATGCATTTGCACAGAACACGGGTACTTGAGTACAAAACAAATTCGAGAAAATAAAATAGTCATATTAAAAAAAATTTAATTTTGCGAAAATATTAAAAACGAAAAAAAAATAACAAAAAAAAATAACAAAATTTTTTTTTATTTATTTATTTTTTCAAAAAGACATCCACGTATACAGAACGGATTATGACGAGTTCATAATATTCAACAAAGACACGGTATTGGATAAACAATTACGCAAAAAGCACAGAGGTTCTAAACAATTGCTATTCTCTATTTAATTCTCCCATAAAATCATAACACTTAGGAAACCTGGAAGGGTGCACGTGATATATGCCGTGAGCATACAGCAAATTTGGTCTCACTCGAGTCACAGAGAAAGCTCATAGCTTTGCATATGTTTCTATTTGCCAACGGTAGGCACATGCTGCACATTTGTTGTTGTAATTAACAAAAAAATATTTTACAATTAAATTTAATTTATAGATTTCTTACAGACAACGGTGAATAAGGCAGATCGCGCTTTTATATATTGGAGCGGTGGCAATGATCTAACAAGCCCGGGTACTTTTGAGTGGGAGGGCACGGGCAAGGCATTTAACTATACACATTGGCTACATGAGCAACCGGTGCACATTGAAAGCGGCGGCTGTATACAATTTGGCGGTGGTGGTTTTGGACGTTGGTCCATAGAAAATTGCGATACTAAGCGGTTATTTGTTTGTGAGCGTATGAAAAATTAATTACAAAAATTAGTATTTTTTTCCTAAATTTTTGCACGAGAGGGGGAGTTAACGCCATTGTTTTAATAAATTAAATATTTATAACCAATTATAGGCATATCTTTAAATTAAATATTTTTGATTTAAGAGGAAAACCAAAAAACTGAAATATGCGCCCCTTTCAGCAAATTAAGGCAACGCAAATTGAAGGAGCGCTGGGCAGTTGATTTTTTCAAGTAGTTAATTGGCCACGCACAAGTGGCATAATGGCCCAGAGAGCAAACAAGTGGAATGGTATGAAATGCAGCGCAAATGTATGCTTACAAGTAAACAAAAATGCGCAGCGGCGTTGTGGCCGGCTGTGGTCAGCGCTGCCAACGGCACTGGAGCATAATAAGCCACGTTGCAGCACGAGCCGGATTGAGTGCAGTCATAGATGAAGAGCAGTGAAGTGTGGTGGAACTAAGTGAACTGCATTGGATCAGATTTATAAACATGCGCATATAGCTGTGGGTTTTAAGCAACGTCTAAACGGGTGCGAAGAGTTGTAAGAAATGTGGAGACCTCTTGATATACGCTTGTTCGTTCGACCGATTTTGATATGTTTATATATTAGGTTGTCAAAAAAGTATTGCGGTATTTTCGCTAGTTGGCGCTGAGAGCGTGTAGTTCTAGTTTTATCGGGTCGTGCTATAGCTTGTTGGAAAGCTGATTTCACGCGCTAACACGTGTTTGATTGATTGTCGTTTCTTTTAAGTCGTTCGTCAGTTATAGCGTAGCAAACATGGAGCAAAATAAAGAGAAAATACGGCATATTTTACAGTACTACTACGATAAAAGCAAAAATGTATCCCAAGCCGCTAATAAAATTTGTGCAGTTTATGGACCCGATACAGTTTCCATTTCCACCGCACAACGATGGTTTCAACGTTTTCGTTCTGGTGTAGAGGTGGTCGAAGATGCGCCACGCTCCGGAAGGCCTGTCGTCGAAAATTGCGATAAAATCGCTGAATTGGTCGAAAGAGACCGGCATAGTAGCAGCCGTAACATCGGTCAGGAGCTGGGCATGAGTCGTAAAAAAAAAATTTATTAACAATTGAAAATTCAATAAAAATAACGCAAGAAATACCGCAAGACTTTTTTGACAACCTAATATAAAATCACTGGTTTTATTGCTGTATAAACAGTCATTTGATTAAGGGGTTAGGTGGGTTTGAAAATTTCCAAAAATGGATTTTTTTTGTTTGCTTTATTATATTCTACAATACATCTAGAATATAGTCCTAAATTTTAAAGTTGATCTGAGTACTATTTTCGAAGATATAGCCTTGAGAACTTGTGCGGTCTAGGCTAGCTGCGCTAAGTGCCCTGTCTTTAAACGCGTTTTTCTCGAAACTGTGTTTCTTGAAGTCGGTGGACACGATTTCTCGAAGAGTTATCGACTAATTTAGTTCATATTGTGTACACGTTTTTGAAATAATATTATCTAGTTATTGACCGAAGGATTTTTTCTTGTTTCATTACAACTAATTTTTCTGGCCAAAAAATGCCGAAAAATTTACCAAAAATGAGATTTTTTGTTCAAAGTCCGAGAAAATAAGGACAATTTTGATATTGTTTTATTTCCTATATTCAAAAACGAGATTTAGATATATACTAAAAGAATATGTTTAGTTTTTTAATTTATGAACCAATAATAAGTTATGCTGTCCACTGCGAGAGCACTATTTTAACAGACACCCACTCAACGGCGGAATTTTCAACATTTTTGTATCGAAATTTCAGGAGATATTGTTCGCATATATACCTTTGATATAACATATTATATTTTGAAATATATGATTGCTTGAAAAATTTATGAGTTTTGCTTTGGTAAAAAAGAGGTATACATTCGTGCGCGTATTCATATTCCTATAGATTAAAAGATTATTGACTGGCTAGAATTAATAATAAACTGGCTAAGACGCTAAAAATTATGAAAACTTTGTAAAGAAAACGCAATGATCTTACCTTAAATTCACTAACGGAAATGCTCTTGTAGGAAAGAAAGCAAGTGAAGCGCTCTTAAGGAATTTCAGTAATAGATGCAACTTTTGTTTAATATTTGAATCAAGAAGAAATGCAAGAGTACAACGTTGCCTACATTTAGGCATGAATATTAAATAGTACAAAACCGGAATAACAAATGGGAACTCAAATAATATGTACAAAAAAAAAAAATTATATAAAAAAGTTCGAAGGTTCGTAGATGAAGGTCATTGCCATTTAAAAAATGTGCCTCTACTCCCACAGTTTTAGAGATATCGACCTGAAACTTTAGACACGTCATTTTCTTACTAATGGCCTGTTCATTTGTCGGAATGGTCGATTTTACATCACTACATTAAATAGCTGTCATATAACCTGAATGATCAAACTCAAGTTCTTGTAAGGAAAACTATTTTATTTAAAGAGATAACTGCACAAAATTTGGCACGGAATATTGCATAACATAACGGTACAATATGTGAAGAAATGTTTCAGATCGGACGACTATATCATATAGTTGTCATACAAACTGAACGATCAAAATCGTGTTCTTGTATGGAAAACTTTTTTATTTGAGGAGATAAATGCATGAACTTTGGCATAGATTATTGCCCAAATCAACGATATAACATTTCCAGAAATTGTTTGAATCAGACCACTATATCATATATGTAGATGCCCTACATTTCGAACATAAAAGTTCAGTTCTTGTATAGAAAAGTTTTTTAATTGCGGAGATAAATGCATGAAATTTGGCATGAATTATTTTCCAAGACAACCCTGCAATATTCGAAGAAATTTTTCAGATCAGACTACTATATCATACAGCTTCCATACAAACTGAACGATTGAAACCAAGTTATTGTATAAAAACCTTTTTCTTTAACGAGATATCTTCACGAAATTTGGGATGGATTATTGTCGAAGACAACGTTGCAGCATTTGAAGAAAATTTTTTTGTATTTTTATGCTATTAAATATTTTCCATACATCCTAAAGTACGAACTTTTAATACCTTCATAGAAAAAATTGTATATGCCCAGCACTCATATTACACTAGCAATCAATTATGTTTTCCATGCCGCACACTTCCGTTATGTACATGACCAGCGCTGTTGCTGCACAATAGCTTATTGCATTTTCTTTGATTTCAATTTTTAATAAAATTTCGAAAATAAAGTTTACCAAGTATGAAACTTAAAGTTTTAGCACGCATGCACACGCATATGTACACACAATAATAATAACGGGTGAATAGCAAAGGCAAGCATGTTGCTGCAATATGGACTACTTGGGCTGGAGCAAACTTTGGTTACAGAATGCACACACGCATTCAAACACTCAAACACACAAATGTTTATGATGTTTGTGTAAAATATGCGGAGATGCACACGCGTTGCGTTGTATTGTGTGTGTATGAGTGCGGTGTTGCAATGCAATCTGGCAACATTGTGCAAACTTTATTGTTTTTCAGTTACAACAAACACAATATAAAGTAAGCACACAACACAAAAATAATACAGCAAAGAAAAAAGAAGGCAAAAGGCGTAAATATAGGAGACAAGCAAAACTCAAATACAAACTACGCTAAAGTGCGGCAAGCATAAACATATGTGTTGCAGCAACAAACACAAGCATAGCGGCAATATCGGGTTGCTTGCATGCATGCCACGTCGTCCAAAAGTATCGAGAATTTACCACTTTGTTATAATTTTATTTAAATTTCAACTGCTGCGTGCCGTAAAAGTTTTAGTGCCCTTTCAAGTGGCGCCCCACCCCAACCTCGGGCGCTCACCAGTGGTTTGCACAGAATAGGCAACACAGCTTCCACCCACCCAAGCACGCAAGTACAAAAGCTTTTTATGCACTTTTTTGCGCCATTTGACTACTGTGCATATTTACATTTGCCCCTCGTCGCTGCCACCGCGCTTTGTGGGCTCACTAATATTGCTTGTGCGTATGTGTGTGTGTGGGCTTAAATGGCATAGTGGGCAACAATATGCTTGCAAAATACTACAATCGCATGCGGTTGCACAAATCGCATACAAATTTGCGCTTTTCACACACAAATATATGCCTCAAATGCCAAAGTGAAACGCTCAACTGACTTGCCATTAAGGCTGCGTCCATAGTCAAAAGTATTACACATACGTTTATTATTTATGTCGCCATTATTTTGAGAAAAATTTCTTATCTCCACTTTTGTGGCAAGGCGAAGGGGCAACATGCTGATTATTGAGCTCATATTTTTAAGTAGCAAATTAAAAAACTGTGAAGTAAACGAAAATATGCCATAAATGTGCGCATGAACAATGGAATTGACTGTAAGCGGATATACAAAGTATGTACTTCTTTACAGAGATACTTATATGAATATGCTTCATGTAATTTTTGAAAATGAAAACATTCAAATTTTAAATTTTAGAAAATCCGTCTAAAGTTAGGCAACAAAATTTAGAATTTCAAAAAATCAGCCTAAAGTTAGGCAACAAAATTTTATTTGCAGATTGACACGTAAGAGCTATGCTCATTAAAACTGTCTTTTGAGCATGGTTCTACATATTAGAAACAAGACTGGCAAGAACTACATTAAAACTTTCTGCTGAGCATGCTTCCATTAAGAACATAGTGACATGTCTGAGAACAGTTCAGAAGCATTACTTCATTAATTTATGATAAAAAATTTATTTAATAAAAATTTGTATTCGATAATCACCTACTAATAGGATGAATCTAGCAGAGAAAGTATTAATTTTAAACCATAAAATCAGCGATCTTAGCAGTGTGTTTTCCAAACTCCTTTCCGAAATAGCGCCTGATATCGAACTTGGCAGTATCATAATATTTACGGAATCCTATAACAAGTACGTAGTCAAAGGATTATCAAACCAAAAGAAAAAAACTTGAACTATTTTCCCAATAACCACGCACAATATTCTAGGCTCAAGCCCACTTGCCTAGCAGCGTGGCCATAATTTGCACATTAAAAAGCATTATCCATACAAGTGTATTGAATAGAAATAGGTGGGAGT